GTGAATGCCTACAGTTTTACGTTGTAGGTGCTTATCGTTTTATCTTGTCTATGCCTACCGTTTTACGTCGTAGGTGCTTATCGTTTTATCTTGTGAATGCCTACAGTTTTACGTCGTAGGTGCCTATCATTTTATCTTGTGAATGCCTACAGTTTTACGTTGTAGGTGCTTATCGTTTTATCTTGTGAATGCCTACCGTTTTACTGTTTTACTTCTTAGGTACTTGTCGTTTCACCTAGTGAATTATTGCCGTTTTATCTTGTAGATTGCTGCATTGTAAATGCTTACCATTTTCTGTGCAGATGATGGATGAAAGATATAGGTGATATTATTTTGCTTTATAATTGCTATGCAATGATACTTGATTCTCATGAATTAAGAGCAGTGTTATGAGAAATAATTTGTGTAAGATTTTTTTAGCAGGCTATTCTATTCTTCAGATAATCGTTTTATTTTTTTAAACTTGTCAATTGATAAACGTAAACATATGTAACATCTGTTTGGAGACATGCCAACTGTATGCTTCAAGTTCAGTATCGTGTTTTGATTACATCACCAACAAGTAACGAAAGTGATGCCTCCGGGTAATATATGGTGGTAATTTAGTGCATGTTTTTTAAATTCACTGATGCCAGCATCATTTAATTATCAGCAAAATTCTTAAAACAATTTAGTTGCTTGAAGTTGAGGAAGGAACTCAATGTCGAGTTCGTCTCATTCACAATCACCTACGATGAAGTTAAACACTTCAGATAAAAGGTTAGAAATGGGTATGATCGTAATGCGGAACCGCATACACTTCATTCTTTACCAATTTCAGTTTAGAGTTTCGCACCTAAGAAGTTGTCATATCTGTCAAAAAATTTACATTAGCACTAGTGAATCAGTTAAGGATATGAGTGGAATGGTAATTCAAGTGATTGTTTATAGAGATTTAAATGATGAAAATGGTTCGTTAAGAGTTCGACGTTCCAATCGCGAAATCCGAAAGCCGAAATTTGACGATGAGATTGTTGACAGTGCTTCTACTGCTAAAATTGTGCAGAGGAAGCGATCAAGTATGGAAAGAATACATCATTCTCCGGAATCAGTTGATCGCCCCGTTGTGAGTATCATATCAATCATATCTCCATATTTTTATTTTTGTTGATTTTTACTGTAATTTGAAAATTTTTAACATTTGTATCCTTGTTTCCTTCTGATTGGCTCGTCTAGACTTTATTTTTTTCATTTGTCCAAAAGATTTCTTGCTTACCATTGAAATCTCTTTTAAAAAAAACTTTAGTAATATCGACTGCTTCTTAAACGCGTTTTTTTAAGGAAAAAGCTCAAAGCGCAGCCAAGATAAAACTTGCCAAGAGACAATGGCGTCCTAGTGAAACAAATATTACACCTGCTGTTGATGCAAAAATTTTCAAGAAGTTGTCAGGAAAACCTGTTGGACAGATGCATTCTGTCTTTCTTGATAAAGTAAAGATTTTGTAATTAAAGAAGTGACAGTTTTTTTATATTAAGAGAGCGGTGAACTTGATTAAATTTTTTGATAAAGATTAAATTTTTTTGTGGTGAATCTTTTGCTTGTCAGGAATTTCACGAAATGTAAGAATAGTAGAGTCTCACACACTTGGTCGGAGTTGGTATTTACGGACTACATAATTTGCATTTCAGAGTTTCTGTGAATAAGACGAACTCCTAATTATTAAAACAATGTTCTCTGATTCATTGTGGGTTTTATTTTAGAAACGACGTGAGCGGTCTACTAGTAAGGAAGGACGAACAAAAGAATTAGCAGCTTTGGTGGCACAAACAGCTGCTGTCAATTCCGGTAACGCGGAATCGCAAAAAAAGTGGACTGCATTAGACGATGTTGCACTTATTACAGCGGTTACACAGGTTCTGCGTTAGACGAACTTTCTACTATATGATACAAAACTCTCTAAATTTGTTGGCTTACATTGGTAATGTCAGATTCAGATTCGAAAATTTAAGGTGAGCAATCTTGCTGCTGTACATGGAGCGATTCGTTTTTCACGACCTTTTACACTGCCTGAGATTGAAGAAAGATGGTATCAACTGCTTTACGACGAGGTTTCCTGAGTTCTGAAAAAGAATTCTTAATTATCTGTATAGAAACTTGAACGAAACAACCGTTAACTTTATTGTAGTTACTACTTCTACTTGCCATTTCTTATGTTATAGCAAATGATATGGTTATTTCAATTTAAGTGTTTTTAAATATGGAAAATTTTGTTGCAGTAAGACTAAAGTACAAAAATTATAGGATCTCGTAACCATAGTATAATCAATCTTCATCCTGAGGTAACTATTCTTAAAAATGTGTTTTTCAGACCGTTTCGCTTATTGCGAAGAAGCGGATTGCAGATCTTAATGTGGAGACTATAAACGCGATACAATCTAGAACAGTTTTCACTGTAAAAGAAGAAGAGTTATTATCATCGATTCCGTCTACTACTGCAAACAGTGATCTCGCTACTTTTGAACAGGTTAGAAATTATTTCTTTATAGATTAATATTGGTGCTAATTTTTGGTGGTTATATCTGGTATGTATAGAAAATTATTTTGAAATATAATTTCAAGTAATAACGACATTTCTAGTTTTTTTGTTTTTTTCTAGTATAATTTACTACATGTTTTGTTTGTTGTAACCATTATGATTTAGAAAACGTAAGTAGTTACTTTGTTTGCATCTGCTACACAATTTAATGGTAATAATGTTTAAATTTATTTTCCCCCATTTGGTAGCTGCTACAACAAAATAAGGGAGCATTCCATCACGCTCGAACCGCTAGTATTCTGCAACAGCACTGGTTGGAAATGAAAAGTTGGGATTTGCTACAAGATCAGCGTAAGGCTAGGAATCGTGTATTAGATTTTTCGGAAATTGAACAAAAAATAGAATGGAATGGTGGTTGGGACTGGCATACTAATATCGAGGAAACTCGGTTATTCAAAGCAACGACATTGGCCGAGCGTTCTTGGCTTGACTGGCAAAAAGTATATTTTGATTAAAAAGCTCCAATCACTATGCCTACTTGCTGATTGAAAATAGTTTCTTATGTTTTGTGAAAACTTCTCACCTCCTTTCTATTTTTACAATATTGAGAAGTCCTCAGAATGACGTCGAGAACTAATACTTCTAGGTACATGTTGAAGCGGTAAGTGGGATATCTGACGACTCGCAAATGGGCGATGGTGTTTGGGGTGTATTGAAAGGTCGTGTTGTGCGTTATATACTTCGAGGTGAAACTGTCTTAATAGGTCGCAGCACACAGTTCCACAGCGTAGGTTTCATGAATAAATAGAAATATCCGACAAAATCGCACATTAGCACTCAATAAGTTTAACTAAGTGATGAACAGATGCTTGTGTTATTGAAGTCAACACAGAAAGATTCGTTTATTTCTTTAGATGGCAGCAAAATTTGTACACATAAACATATCTTTGGTTGAGCACAGCTGCCTTTGATCTGTTAAGTATCTTTGCTGGTAAAATGTAACAAAAAAAAATGAGAATTTTCAGAAAGCTCATTTCTTACTATCTTACATAACTATTGATGTTCAAATTGTATGCCAAAGTGTTGATCAGAGAATAGAATGTTATGTAACTGTAAAGACTAGCTGGTGTGTATCTTCCATTTGTTTTAAAAAAATACAAATTAGAATTGCATTTTGATAACGAAATCCTATGAAAATATAGTCAGAAATATTACTTCAAGAAGTCGAATGCTGTCTGCAAAAAAAAAATGCATTTCCTACAGGCAGTAGTGTTAATTTTCATAAAATCATAATTGAACATGATTATGGAGCAAGCCTATAAAAATTTGTTTGTAACTTCAGGTTGATGTCAACTTGGCTGTTGAAGGACCAGTTGCGACCATTAGTCGAAAGCAGGCTATTCTGAGAGCTGTCCGGAACGAAGACACCAAGACACTAGAAGTATTCTTATGCAACATTGGTAAGCCTCCGATGTATGTCAATGGTAAAACGCTACTAAATGGCGACAAAATCAGAGTGTTCAACAATGGACTAATAGAGATCGCTCAAATACACCTTCAGTTGCTTATTGCTGCCACAAATATTAATAGCAATGGTAACAATCAGGAAACTGGAACCAAACTTATACAAACTGAACATCAACAGTCGTTCCCAACATCATCTACTGCATTACCACAACCACTAGCGTTCTGAGCAGATTAATTTGTTTTCGCAGAACTTTTCATTATACGTCCGATGTACTTACACATGATTCTCCTGGCGCTCTGAAAGTAAATTTTAGTGAAGTTTGCACTGAATGCAAGCTGCCTTTTTTCTCTCCTTAGTGTTTGTATATCTGAGAATTACACAAATAAAAACAAGTAGTTCATATTCTGTATTTTTATATTATGTGATCGCTTTTCTAGCGTTTATGTTTTCTATAAAAAGAAAAATTCTTACCCTTGTGTTTGTGTTTTTATTGGAGGAGGGTCTGAACTGAGCTGGTTAGGTAGTGAAATATGTGAATTATCGTCCCGACTTATCTTTTGCTGCTTAGTTGCTAGCGGTATCTTTTTTTGGTTACCCACACTAAAGACGAAGTTCCTCCAGCCAAGATGTTTGGAGCCCTGTAAAGTAATGTTTTCGTAGATCATTGGGTTATTTTAATACTTATAAGTTCGCGTTAACTGGTAAAGCAAAATAGAAAACGTATTTTTTGCAACGTCAAAAAGTGAAGATTTTTGAATAATGATTACTTGCTGTTGAGCTGCCGAAAGTACTCCTTTATAAATTTGAGAACGCAGAAATCTTGGGTACGAATCTTTGCTCATCAGAGTAAATACATGCTCTTCGGCCGATGAAAATGCGTGGCGTTTAGCTACAGTCTCATCTTGCAATGACTTTACAGTTGTTGCTAGGGTGCGCGAATCAACATTTACCTAAAAATACTGCCAAAACGTAATCTAATCCTTGACTAATGCATGGCAGGGTTACAAAATTGGACGATGAGAGTAATTTGCTAGAAGTATGCATGATAGAAATAATCTCTCAGCGCTGCTTGTTATTACAGCTCAAATGAAATGCAGTTAGTGATTGCACAACGCGATTATTTCAGAACTAGCAAATGCATGCAGGTGATAAAGAATAAAACAGAGTATAATGCAAATAAGTTATCAAAAATTTGTGAAGTAATATAGGACATAGGAACGTACTTGACAAGGAGCACCGGACGCCAAAAATTCTTCATAAATGTGTTGGGCTTTGTCCTCTATTTGCTCATTAGCAGAAAACTTCAAATCTTGAATAGCCATCCAAAATCGGATATTTTCAGAAGAAAATTCGCTTTCCAGGAATGTTTCGAGAACTTGTCGACCAATTGGGTCACGAACCAGTTCTTGCACCGAAAGGCCCCATCTTTTAACCCGTCGTTCAGTTGGCACTTCAACCCTACAACAATTTTTACCTTCCAAAATTAATGCAGTAAGAATCAATTTTAGTTTCGTAAAATTGCCTCCTTGTCTATCACATAAAATCCATTATAAGTTTCACTGCTAATTCATTGCACTAATAATGCAACGTGAAAACTTACGAATCAGTATTTAGCACCCACAAATTAGTGTCATCAGATATCCATGGATTACTAGGTTGTGGAGTTGACAAAAAAGGATCATAATCATAGAATTGTTCACACCAGGACACCATACTAAATTTTTTTTCATTTCTTATGTATAGCAAATAGAATAGCAGTAAAAATTTGATAAAAGACTACTTCCTTATTGCTATTAAAAGTATTCATAATAAAATAATTTGAAATTTTGAGGTTAGAAAAGAGCATTTAGATGCTGTTACATATCATTTGCATCGAAAATGCAAATTATTATGTTTGAATTTCCCAACAGAGACTGGCAGTATATTTGTAAGTAATGCAATGTGTTTAAATCTTTGACTATAAAAAGAATATCACATACAAAAGCACAAAAAAAATGCTATTCTTATTTTGGAGATAAAATAATAAAAAATTTTGACTTCAAATATTACTACGAACATCGAGCATGCTAGTAAGACAAGATAAAAAAAGCACTTACGTTTCGCTAGCTTTCACTGCTTTTAGCCACGGCTTTGTTTTAAGCGTAAACTTCAATAAGTCTAATTCTTTTTGATAAATAGCAGCAGTTCGTTTTCGTAATTTCTTCTTTTTTTTCTGAAACTTGAAAATGAAGTGAAAAAATCAAACTATAAAATGCTTTTCAATCAAATAGATAAGCTCTCAGTGTTTTATATGATTGAAAGTTAGAAATTTTTACACCGTAATTAAGCTATTTTTGCAACTTAACAAAAGAATCTGTACCGAAAAGTTATCAAATAATAAGTATACAAGCAATGAAAAAAGACGAATTTCTGCTTTTGAAATTCAGAAAACTTTTTTTAGCAATAATTTCTAACCTGAATGTGTTGCTCAAGGCAATTTGCTTGTCCTGGTCTTCGAGTCCTCCAAAATGCCCTTTCCTCACTATCATATACAACTTTGTCGCTTTTTTTTTTCTCCTACAAATAAATTTATTCATAAATAATTCGTGGTTCAAATTTCGATATCCAATCATGGGGAAGTCAAATGATTCGAAAATAATAACTTTAGAGAACTAATAACTGAAACTTTTTCTAAAATTCTGCTTTCTAATAAATGACAGAAGACAGTATTGAAAACAACAAATTAGTTGGCAATGTTGATAATAAAATTATAGTTAATGCTTTGAAATGATAACTCAGTTACAGAACTTCACAACATAAACGCAACCTTTTGAATTTTTAACTGTATTTCTGCTTGCATAGTAATGAAACCCCACATATGGCCAAGAAGTTCCAGAAGTTTATTGTATGCTTCAACTTCATCCTCTTCCAAACCATGCCTCTGCTCATTCCGCATTAGACGTTTATTAAGATATATGGCTGAAATCTTTCTGTATCACATATGTTATGCTTTTTTATAAACAAATACTAGAGAAGTAAAGAGAGAAAAGTGCGATTATTTAAGAATCACGGATAATTACGATATTAATATATTGTATTGAAGAATAAAAAAGCATACCATATTCCACATTATCGGTCTGAGTAGCGTGTGAGGGCCAAAAATATGGCAGCTGCAATCTATATAATGTACTGTCATCCTTAACAAGGAGTGAATGTTCGATAACGGGAAATATATAACCGTGTTGCAGAAGTAATGTTGCCAAGTGTAATGCATCCGTGAGATCATCAAAAGCCATTAATTCCTGCAATTTACGGTACTTTTCTTTGCCAAACAAAAAATCGAATAATAACTTAGGTTCTTGTGTTAGCATACAACATATGAAAACAAAATTGAATATATTTATCAGAAAAATTTTGCAAAATACAAATAGCACAAAGTTATTAGTGAATGAAAGCAATAAAAATTTTATTATACTAACACAGGAACTAAAATTTTTATTTACTAAAATTTTTTTTAAATTTAAAACGAACCAACAAGAATGCAACTAGAGCTTGACCAGTTACAGCCTGCGGTACTGCCACCCGAAAATATTTATGTGTTTTGAGCGGGACTGATTCAGCGATACGTAGTGATAAGTAATCAAGCTGGAAGAATAATCCTTGAAATAAATGTGGTTAAGTCATTAATCTTCTTGTCATAAATGAACAATAATAATAATAGTGACAAGTAAAAGAAATTTCCGATGTAAGGGAATATTGGTTCAATTCAATAAAACTAATCCCTAGTACTAAGAGCTACCTCTGCAAAACCATCTAATCCTATTTAGTGAATGACGTAATATAACTGAGCGAAAAACCAATTTTCGCAAGAGTTTCTAGACTAATCTCCGGGGAGGAAAAATGCATACATTTTTATTCATACGCAAAATGACGTCTTAAAAATTTGTTTACAAACCGAATTTCCTGTCTAGTTCTATCTATATCAATCACTACAAGCATACACAAAATATCAAAGTATTTCGTGCTTACTTGAAATGATTTTAGCAAGAAAAACCAATTGTGACAACAACACAATCAATCTTTTTTAAGGACGTGAAATTTTGACTTTTGAATCAAATTGTTCTTGTACACGTTACAGTAATTCTAAGCGTCTAATTTTTCTAATTACTTTATACTCGCCCACAATTTGATCTTTCTTAAAAATAAATTAATAAATATTCGTAATAGATTTTACTTACAGACAACGTATATTCGTGCAAAGAAATAATAAAAACATACTCTTCTAAGTCATATAATTTCTATTTCTAGAATAAAACAAGAAAACAATCTCTCATTTCAACAATATCTCTAGAAGTGTACAGACAAAAAAGTGTATGTTTCAATCAAAATATATTTCTAATTAAGAAATAAAAAATTCTTTAGTGGAAAAAAAATCTTGCAGCAAAAATTAATTTTCTAGTACTAGCTAGAAGAAATCTACAATATTTACAAATAATCAATTCCGATTTTTTTTTCAAATCCGCGTAATATAACGAATTGTACACGTGTATACAAACGTATTTTAAGTGTAAAAAACGCTATTCTGAAATTGGCCAGAATATAGCGTAGCAAATCAAATTTCTCAGTTTACAAAATTAATCTGAAAAATTAATCGAATTTTTCGCCCAGTTATTAATGCAGGATAACAGAAAATTAATGCCTGTATTTGCCTTCTACGGCTGCATGGCGCTAATCTAAAAATTTTGCTCGCATGGCAGTACAAAATACAAATTCTATTCCATTCGAAGTATCCACCAACATAAAATTAATTTGCCTAATAAAATTCAAATAGAAATACTGCAAAAGAGTGGAATAAAATGGAAATAAAAATTTGAAAAAATTATATCGATAATATATTATCATAGCCAAATGTTAGTACAAACTCAAACCTATTATTACTCTATGAATATAAATATATGAGTAATAATACTGATGCATAAATATTCAATCATCTTCACTTTTTTTCCTCTGAAATTTCGATTCTGTCAAGCATCAAAATGAAAATCAAAGAATCCTAAAATATGTTCTGTTATTCAAAGAGAATAAAAAAAGAGAATAAAAAAGTGATATCGAAAAATACAAGTGATGCATACATTATAATAGCGAGAAAGATGACTGCATATTACAAATATTTGAGGAAGCAAAAATGAAAGTGACTGAATGCAAGCAAGAATCTGCTCGTTTTTTTGAATATTGTGAAGTAAAGAAATTGGAATCAGAAACAAACCTTAGCAAGAGTATAAGCAGCCATTGAAGCAACAGCACATATAATTAATCTCCACAAATTGCACACACCAATGATAACGGTAATAACAAGGTTATCATTATATTATTGCATACCAACAAGAGGTACTGCAACCGATTTTAAGCAACGTTAAGAATTATGTATAAGACAATAAACGTAACACGACGTTTAGATAATACTTGTCACGTTGATCAGTCTAGACCTGTCTACTATTACATTTCCAAAGATTGTTCATCAAATTTCTACTCCATCACTGAAATTATAAAAAATTATGCACATTTTCCATTTATAGAAATAAATTTTATACGCCAAAAATTTAAATTACAGTAAAATCACAAAAATTACAAGGGAACTAGCAACATTCAAATAATGATAATAACAATTGTGACGATGAATAATGATAATAAGATTTGTGATGACGAATAATGATAACGATAATGACAAATGATAGCAACTGAAATAGTGGTGATTAGTGTATTTGAGTAGGAATAAACTGCAAGAAAGAAGAACTACTATATCAAGCTGCTTTCCACAAATCATACTTTTTACTATGATGTACTCCTAAGAGAGTGTGCACTAAAACGTATTACATTATTTTCAGTGACGTGTACGGATGCAAGTTTGCTTATACGTTCATGAGTGCGTGCGCACGCGTGCGTATACGGACTTGCCCGAGTGTAATCACGCCCATCCAATAGATAGAGTAAGCTGACAGAATAAGAATAAGAAGCACAACACACAACTGGGCTAAATGCCACGAATCGATGTGTGTGTGTGTGTGTGTATATTTGTATCTATGCGTATGTCATGTGTGTGAGGGTACCTTTAGGTGCCCCAGTAATGCAAATGTATACACATCTCTGTATATATATATGAACACATAAACAAGTGACAGATACTTGCATAACGCACAGACATACACACGTACACGGACGTATAATTATACGTAAGTGCACAGTAATACACTCACACACATACATCTATACTTGCAACACATTGATATTTGCATGCTTACAAACTTACACACATACAAGCAGACATGTAAGCATACACTCACAAGCACACATTCAAAAGTATAAAGGATGATGGCGAAGAAAAAAGAAGAGCAAATTATATGAAAAGGAGTGCAGTGAGTGTGTGTGGTTGCTGAGTGTTCTTTAGAAAAGAAAGACGCACACGTAAATGCATACTCGTATACTTACTTAATAGCAAGAAATTAGACATTCACGTTATCGCATGAGACGTCACTTCATTATCGCTTAATAAATGTTTAAATATAGATACTTGTTTAATGCTGCTGTTGCAGTTAAATTTTACATACTTTACGTGTTATGTCATTGCTGACGTTTTTAGACTTCCTTATTTTTTTGAAATTTAATGAGGAGAGAATTATATATTGTCTAAAAATGTACTTATTGTGTCTTTTTTGTTTAATATTTGCGCAATTTTCATGTTTTTTTCACCTATTTATGATTTCAAGACGTTTTTTACGTGAAAGTAAAATGTCAATAAATGAAGGAAAATGTCACTCCTAGCTATCTGCATTTCTGTATTGAAAGTATTTGATTCCATCGTTATACATACTTTCAGATTTTGTGCAAATCATTGATGAATTCTTCAAAACAGAAATGAGAAATTCTTTTAATTGGCAGTGATTGTTTGGCGCTTCAATTGCATGTACACGGATTTTGGTTTAGTAAAATATAACGGACTTTGAATATTCTGGTACAGACAATTTTTAAATTAAAATGGAAAAGAATGCTAGACATAATTGAATTTGGAAAAGAGCAGTCCATCTTTAGTACTAATCATATATATCTCTTCGATAAGTTAGCTAAGTAAGTAAACTTAGCATTGTATGCTTGTTCTGTTTAAGTCACGCTGATAATTTTATCACGTTTATTGCACATTACATTAGTCAAAGTTTTGATTACTTCCATTTTTAACTTGCAAGCGCAAAGTAACAGCTATTAGTACAGATGGCTTCTCACGTAAGTTGTTGAAAGTAGTTAATTTCAATAAAAATACATCATGACTATCTGATATAATTATCTACAAAACTTTGACTAATGTATAATTAATTAAATTATAGCATTTGGTTTCTCAACAACTCTAATTAAATCAATTCATAAAAATTGCTTTACTAATTTCAATAATTCCAAGTACATCTCATTTATTTCATTCCTACTTTACCTTTCACTTCTAATCTTTAACTTTATTAATTCATAATTCTCATAATATTTCTATAATATCCATACAATCATACAAAGCATTCATAATTTCAAGCTTTAACACAAAATACCCTTTCAGTATAAATCAGTGATATAATTCTTCAAGGTATTTTTGTTGCTGTAATACTCAATAGTACGACAGATTACACTGTACTACTTCTAATCCTTCACATGACTAAATAAATTAAAATGAGGGTTAATAATTAAAGTTTGTTTTTATTAATATAAATTTCGAATACTAATACGTTCTCTATTGATATAAATTAAGTAAATTTGGTAATATTTTATCTGTTCAGCAAAAATTGTTTATTGGAATAAAAATTGTCTACTAATAAAATATTCAAATATAAATAAATATAAGTGCCGATTATATTCATATTTTCATTTTAATTTTTCTGCTACTTTACATCCTGCTAAGCAAACAGATATGAAACTATTTATTATCCTAAAATTCTTACTAGCAAATAAAAATTTACATAATTTATTGAATTTTAATTGAAAATAAATCAGTTGTAGTCAAGAATTGGCAAAGTTTATGCATAATATTATGTAAAAATCTTATATGTATGAGATTGGTTCGATCTTTTTATCCATTTATGTTTATTCAAATTTTCTTATTAAGTTAATTTTTGTTTATTTGAGTAATTTATAAGAAAGTTTCTATGAATGCATGCAAGTTATTAAATTCTGATGATAACAGCACAATCAGAGCTGAACTTTCAACTCAAATAATTCTTTAAAAAAACCAAAAATGCTAAAATTAGCAAATTAAAAGCGCAAATGTTTAATATTAAAATTGTGAGAAAAATTTTTTGCAATCAGTAAAAAAGCAATTCGCAAAAAACATTTAAAGCACCATTTATGGACATTTTACATCTACGTTGGCATGCAAATATTACCTTGAAAGACACATAATGAATGTAAGTAAGTAACTTTTGAAACTGGTCACTCACATTAAATATCCATTAGTAAAGTAAAGAAGTTTTAGTTAATTCTTCAAAAAGGAATATTTCGCTTGAAAGCATTTTTGACAGAATTGTGATGATAGCGCTTAATTATGCAAATTTTGTCAAAGTGAATTATATATTTTTTCATACTTACATTTGCTTTTCCTAATTTTAGTGAAATGAAATATAATTAATTAATACTGTATATGTGCTGACGACACTGTTATCATATAGCAATGAGATTCTGTAACTAAGTCAGGCATTTCTGATTTTAATACTTTTCTTGATGGTACTTTTATCTATTTCATTTTGCATTGGTCAAAATTTTTTCAAATTATCTCGACGAAAAACTTAACAAAATAACTTTGAACTGAATTGTTTTTAGTTAAAATTTGATCTCACTAAAATTAGTTGAGTTTAATTTAGACAAAATTCTCGTAATATTTAATTAGTTGAATGATTAGTTGAATTTTTAGCAGCTGCTAAAGAGTTATATACGTAATAATTAAAGCTCGCATTTTTTTGAACGCAGTCCTAATTATGAAAATGTGAATTCTTTTTTTTTTGGAGCTACGTCTTATACCTCCGTTACAATATTTATGCATTGTATTACTAATTCACATTTTCATAATTTATACAATTTTAGCTTTTCTTACAACTATAAAAAAGTGCTTATTAATTAATTAATGTCAAAATTTTTGTATATTTTAGGATATATTTGCAGGTCGATATTGTAAGTCGATCGCTTGTCGAGTATCGTACAGTATCGGTGCCTGAAATCAAAATTGACGTAGGAAAAAAGTTGGAAAAAATTTGCCTAAATATATTTGTAACATAAATTATTGTTTTCATATGAAATAACTTATATACATATTATATTTTAAAACGAATTCAAGTATTAATTCTTTCATATCAAATAATTAATATATATTATACTTTTAAACTGAATTCAACTAATACAATGATGTTCAGCACTAAAAAACATTAAGCCAAATGCAATTTCAGTATCATTATAGCAGTTTGATGTTTGTACAAAACTTGTAATGAATGTTGAATACTTTTTCAAAACTTGAGAATAATACAAATGTTTTACCTGAAGAAAGATTGTGATAGTTCCTGCAAAACAAGTTATTGAGAACAACAACAAAAATAATCTGTCCAATACCATTGAAACATACTTCCAGTTTTCATCCACCTAAATTTTATTAATAATAAGCAATAATATCTCATGGCAGCAATTAATGTAATTTATGCAAATTATTTATGCATATTGGCTTTGTAAAAATTTTAGCTCAATTTTGAAGTATAAAATTTAATCCTTTGCAAAAATTGATAAATAAATTAGCATAGAATAATTCACATTTTAAACTCTCAAACACAACTCAGAATGATTTGAGTGAAAATAGCGAAATTATTTTTGATTTAAATTTGCATTCTCCCAAAAAATGTAATTCACAGATTAATCAAGAAAATTTTGCTATAAAAAATGATTCTACCTTATCATCACGATCTTTTTTTTTGAGTAATTTTGCGATGAAGCAGATATTTTCAAAAGCCTTGATAACATATGGTGAACTGTAAAGTTTCTGAATTCGTTCGTTGAATTCAGCCGAAGCTGTACTTCTGCTGTCATCACCATTTACGTAATAACCGTGATAATTCATAGTTACTCGTTCACCTAAATGCAAAATTTCACTCGTATTTTTATTATAATCTGTCAGTGAATGTCTTCAAGCAATTTAAATTCATTTTCTAGTAATTAATTATTTTCTTTTCTGAAATTATACACAATTGTAGTTTCGTGTTGAAAACTTTTTCAAAAAACATTGCAAATACAACAATTTAATATTTTGCTAAAAGCATTTTTTTCGCTGCTTTCTTTGCAATAAAACTACAATACTATTAAATAACTTTATTATTTTTTAAAGTTTTAGCAATCAAATTTTGTCTAATTTTAGGAAACTTGCACTAGATGGTTTCTTTAACTTATAGATTTAAAAAAATTGATACAAGCAAGAGCCTAGAATGATTGCAGCTGCGCAGCTGCTTTAATGAGCTAATTACGATTACAAAATTTATTTATAATAATTTAAAATTTGCAGCCTAACACAGTTCTCCACTTCGTTTACCAATTTTACGGAAAGATTCATGATTATCATTCAACGGTTGTCTCATAAAGAGCAGTTTTGGCAATGTCTTCAGAAACAGCCACTTTACCCATTTAGGCATTTTATGAGTTGTAGGTGTTCGAAAATGCAGATTCAGAGCTAAAATTATCACGTTATTTTATCTTTAATAATTTCGCAGGTCATTCATTATTTTTGAAACCATTACATCAGATTAATAGCCAAGAAGTTTAGTTTTCATAGTTAATCTTTTTCAAATTAAAATAAAGTATTAACTTGCTAAATAATATAAGACATTTTGTTTTTGTATGGACAGGATATTCATAGCATCCAATACAAAAATGCCATACAATTTGCAATCAATTTTTAAATGTTTTTTTTCTAATTTTGCGAATCATTTATCATATTTATTTTTTAATAACTTTTATTGGAAATAAATTTACAAAAAAAAAGTAGAAATAAAGATAATTTGAAAATACCAACATATAACAGTAACTATCACACTGAGCGTTACCATAATCATAGTAAATAATAAATATTTACCAATGAGAGGTAAACTTATGCTAGTTGCCGGGATAATTTCAGTCTGAAAAGCTTACTTAACGGTATAACTTTATCAATATACAAGTAAATAATAAGTTAAAAGTATTAAAATAGGATTAAGTTATATAGACTTTAACTTACCAATAATAAGTAGAAAACAGTTAAAGTAACCAGAATTGATATGCAAAGTGTAACTTTTTCACCGCTATGTGATGGTAGATAAAATACAAGAATAGTAAGAAATGATATGCCAACACAAGGAAAAACCAAATTTACCGTATAAAATAACGGTTTGCGACGCAATTCCAAATAGTACTATAAAATTAATAAGTATTTTGGAATTATTTTTTAATTTAAGCACTGAATTTTTCAGCATAAAATATTTAATACAAAAAACTGCACTAAAATTTTTATCACATTTTAGCACGACAAATTTAAACAAGTAAAATACTCTTCTTGAAATGTTAACAAAATTATTATACTTAAATAATTTTGCATTTTGTATAAAATTTAGTGTTAAAAATAAATTAGTTTGACCATTATATCAATGTATGCTCCATTTGGACAGCAACTTGGATAGTTTTTGGTTCGTCGTTTTGCTACTCGGGACATTATATCCCATTCAACTGATGGATAATAATCAGATAAATCTAAAAAATATCAAAGGTTTAACGAGAAAGTAAAATAAGCTCTATTACTCGCAAAAAGTTTGATTCTTTTGCTAATTAATTTGATCTTTAAGTATTCGTTTTTGTATATTATTTTAGTAAACGCATTACTGTTTATGTTTATCGAATTTCTGATTTTGTTATTATCACCGAGAAAACCTGTAATTTAATTAAATTCGCAGAGCGAAATATAAAACACCTCTATTTATTTCAGTATGTCATAGTATTATTTATTTGTACTATCTTAACAGTGCAGCTAATATATATTTATTTTTTAATTAAAATTTATTCGTTATTTTTCTGTTCGTTCGAGATTTTGACCATTTTATATTATATATATTTAAAAAAATTAAAATGGGCTAAAATCTTAAAATAAATAAAAAAATATAATCTCAATAATCAGACATATTAAGTAAAGTTTCATACTAAAAAGAATATTGAAAAATAAGTAGATGATTTTTTGGTTACCAACAAATGTATCAAAGTTCATATCGTGTCATACAATTATTGCTTGCTTTTTTTTATTACATGGAAAAGATTTTGGTGACCCTTAGAAGAATGGTGACCTCCATGATCTTACAACATTTAACTAAAACAAAAAAAAAATTTTTACTTACACTAACAGAATATTCTTGAGAAATTTGCATTAAACAGCGAACTAACCGATTCCGTCATCAACAATAGTGATATTATCTACTTCGCCATTTTCATTGACCTCCAGTTCATAACGAGGTTCACCTCCTAACAGCTCCAAATTTAGTAAATCTTCAGAATATGTCCAAGAACCAAACTGCAAAATATTCACTATTGCTCTTTTTTTTCAATTTTTCTAGCTTTCTTAAAATTCTTACACATTAATTTTTCTTACGTATCTTTCACAATTTATTCATTATAAAATAGCGGTAATAATACTCATAGCGATATTAATAATAGTAATAATAATAATCATAATAATAATAATAATAATAATAATAATAACCATAGATTTAGAAAATCTTCTAAATATATACAGAATCAAAATCAAAAACTTGCAGTCAATGTTGGTGATAATAATAGAAACAGTAATTGTCCCTGCTTACAGTTATTGGTAATTATAAAGTACTTGTTAATATTTATTATTATTATTATTATTATTATTACTATTTCTTCTAATTATTATCAAATTAACTAGGAGTGTGTACCTTGAAATGACAGCGTTGTTCATCGAAGGGAAACCTAAACAAATTATAACTGCTTAACAAAAACTTTAAATTGAACCTACATTAAATAATGTAAGTTATCTGTTATGCTTATGTACATTACACTTTACTCAAGCAAAGTTTGCCAATTTTAGCTATACTTTTAAAATTCAAAAATATTATTTTGAAGTATACAATTAAAAATCCACGCAAAACGTTAATAAAAACGTGCCATCGCACATCAATTTGGCATAAACTCTTAAAGATGGCAGGTGGCTCCCACGTTACTTCGCCATCATATCGCAGTGTTGCTTTCGTACTAATCGTAATATTATAGTTGCTATCAGCGCTGAAAACACTTTATAAAACCATAAAAATGTTTTATTCGCTCCAAATTTTCGTTCTTTCTTTCAGATAAAAAATGAAATTCATATAAATTTTTGTTATTAAAAATTATATTACTTATTATACAGTACAATATCTGGCACCCAAATCATTTCATATGGTACGTATAGTACGCTTACACCACCATAATTCTTTGGATCCCAAGAAAGTTTTTTATCAACCCAAACTTGCTTGAGCCAAACACTACAAGTCATAATCTGGTCGATTTCGTGCTGCAAAAATTATTATTAAAATAATAAAAATTTTTTAAGCGTATAATTTTGCGAAGAAAAGAATTAAACGTATTTCTGACTTGGACTGCTTCTAAAAATGCTAACTTTTTAATTAGCAAAGCCTTTTTCTTCGAAACAATAATTACAGTAAAGAATAATATTTATTACTTTAAAGCTCTCTTTTAAATTTGAAATTTTTATTTTGCTGCATCATTTTTCTTCAAATAATAATATTTTAACTGCTTGCTTCTTCGTATTTCTATCGCTGAATATTAATATTGCTGATTTTATTTCTTATTTTATGGATACTGCTATTAAATTTTAAATTATTTGCTGCAAAATATTTTTGATAGTAATTTTTATAAGCAGAAATGATTTTTGCAGTATTTTAACTTTAAATTATGATGCAATAAATTCGCATCAAAAATTAATTTTAGGTTTAATAATTTTAAATTACATTCACGTTAACATTACATAATTCGGATCCATTAATTTAGATTTATTAATTTTTATTTTAGACAAATAAAATAAAACTTTTGCAGATAACAAAGAATATTGCATTAATATAAGTAATAAAAAGTTGCTTAACAAGCAAATTTTTACATATTGTCGTGATATTTATCGATAAGGCGTGTATAATATCTTACAACGTCGATAATCTGAGAAAGTCGCAACTTCAATTTAATTGTGATCGGTTTGTTGGGTTCAGAAGCAGGTCGTCGATGCTTATTATAATTTACCATTAAGTCATCATGTAATCGTTTTGCATCTTCGTTTGCAAATACCGTTAAGGTCAAAAATGGTTGCAATAAAAGTATAAAATTAATCCCATATACCATTTCAAAATTTTAGTTGCATTCTTCTGTAATAAACAATTCATATGTATAATTTTTAATTAACTTAATTACATGCTTAATTAGATTGATATTTGAAGCAAAAAGTTATCATTAATTAAATGATTTTACATAGAACTTTGTTTTATTTAACTCAATTCATTTTATTTTCGATAGCATCAAATAAGTATTATTAATAAGCCATAGTTACGTTATAGTTAGTAATTACATTTGCAGTGTTTATCAAATTAAATAAATTTTATATGTTTTATTTGATTATTAATTTTAATAATTACAGAATTTAATTTTCAGTACTCATTTCCTATTTAGTTATAAATGTAAAACACAAAATAAATAAAGTTACTTTTATTTTGTGTTTAAGCTACGAATGTAATGATTTTTTAAGCTACAATAATATTAAATAAAATTAGAAATACAAAATAAATTAGTGCGAGAAAGTAATTTCATTAGACAGCAAGTAATATTCTAACGAGAAGTGATAAAGTATGTGATTATTATCAGCGACGTGAATATTGCCATCAATTTTCTGCTTACTCTTGTTAATGACTTAAAAGAAACGTAAGTCTTACGGAAAAAAAATATTAATGGCAGAAAAAAAGAATAAATATTGCAAAAATCTAGTGCGAATTTTTGTGAATGCGGTGCAATTGAACTTCAACTCATAAATAAATCAAATTAATATGTTTTGAGCCAATTAAGTCAACACTTAAAAATTTAATTGAAAATAATAATTGACTGGGATGAATGAGTGAATAAATAAAT